TGGATTTGGCAGCTTTCCATTCGTCATTAGTTGGGGTGCGGGCACTTCTGTTCACATAATTTTAACATGAGCGGTGTTATTTCTATGAATTAGTTTTACGAAATTCCTACATGCTAGTTCAAATAGATGGCCGTTAGTTCCACATTTTTTATCCCACGCATTTCCTCTCACAGTATGTAAATATTATGTCGTAGCTAGTAGTACGTACCAATAGGATTGTTGTTTTAACATGTCCGGTTGCTATAATATGATGTTCCAGGTTGGTGTTACGAGAAAGGCGAGCTCCTGCTTATCTACGAATATATGCTCAATGGCAGCATGGACCAGCACCTCTTCGAGCAAAACGCTCCTCTCCAGCGCCGCATCCTAGGATGGAATACCCGGTACAACATCATCATGGATATAGCCGCAGGTCTTCACTACGTGCATCACGAGCACGAACACATGGTGCTCCACCGCGACATCAAAGCAAGCAACATCATGCTCGACTCTTCCTTTCGTGGTCGCCTTGGTGACTTCGGCCTTGCCCTCATTGTCACCTTGAATAAGAACTCCTACACAGACGTGGGTGTCGCCGGCACCTGGGGCTTCATCGCGCCAGAGTACTCAGTCTGCCACAAGGCCACTCCCAAGACTGATGTATACGCCTTTGGGGTGCTGGTCCTAGAGATCGTCACCGGAGAACGGGCACTTGCTGCCAGCCATGATGATGCGACGCTTCAACCGCTCACCGACTGGGTCTGGTGGGTTCACCAGGAGGGAAGGTTGCTCCAAGCGGTGGACGACAGAGTCATTTCCACACAAGAGTTTGATGCCGATGGCGCCATTCGCCTGCTACTTCTTGGGCTGGCTTGCAGCAACCCAAATGCATCTGACCGGCCAAGCATGGCCGAGGTGGTGCAAGTCCTGGCCAAATCGGTACCTCCGCCGGAGGTACCGCTTGTGAAACCTACATTCATGTGGCCGCCCGAGGGCGGGATCCCCGTGGAATTTGACGATATAACGGCAACGAGCAGCCTCGACTGGGAGGACACGTCCAGCGGTGAAGCCCTAGGGGCGAGTCTGCCATCAGAGACCAACATGCACAAGGCTCGGGTTGGACATCCAAACAAAACCAGATCAGCTGAGGAATATTATGTGTAGTCGTGTAAGTTGTCTATCAAGTAATGTGATATGTCAAAACTTAAAAAGAGCGATAGAAATCCTA